ACTCTCAGTACTTGGCATGCGTTGCTTCTTCTGTACTTCCTGCAGCTGTTCTATTTTACCATGGAATTCTATTTTTACAGGACAAACAGAACTGAGCAGAACACTTGCTCCTTGGAGTTTACCTCCTCGAAGAGGAGCCTGCTGTTGAGAATACAGAATCATGTTTGGTAATGGAGTCAGCCAAAAGGAAGCGGAGGGAAGAGATGGTGGAGAGAATCTGGATCCTGCTGGCATTAGACCCCTGTGCCCACCCGCACCTTTGGCTGCTCAGTTACATAAGCCAATGCATTCTGTTATTTTAAAAATTTAAGCCCATTTGCTTCAGGTTTTCTTCCAGTTGCAACCAAATGATGCAACTGATACAAGTTCTACGAAATGCATTTAAAAATAAATGGATTTTGGCCTATGCTCAAAGCCAGAGCCATTTCCAATTGCTACTTTCTTGTCCAGTTAATCAATAAATATATAATAGGCCCTTGTTATATGCTCAAATGCCAGAAAGTTTAAGAAAGTTCCTATTCTACAACCTAAATGGATTCCACTGTCTCTGTATTTTCCTCTCTCAGGAAATAGATCTCCATTTACCCAGATAAGTTTCTATTCGGGAACTGGTGGTTGTTTACCCCCAGTTCTCAGGTCTAAGCCTATCTTCCTTTATTCCATCCTGCCAGGCTGGGGCTGGGATTCTGCAAACCTCAGTCACCAGCTCCCCTTGCAGCTGCTTCCTGTGAAGTTCCAACAGATGGGACACCCTAGGGGCCTGGAACGTGGGAAGCAAAAACTCCTTCCTGTTTCCAGACAACAGGAACTTAGCTGCTGTCTGCAGTTCCAAGGTTTGGGTTGCGTTGGTATCTACTTTGTGCTCCTTCTGTCTTCCAAGATCTTTATGAGCAATTCCCAATATTAAGTCCACTGCACTTTCCTGCCTGGACTCTGGCGGATACAGGACTTGATACTGGGAGTGGTCTGAGGAGACAGGCTCTCAAAAACAAGATTCTGAGAATTATTTGCTTTGAACTCAGGGCTGAACTCTTTGCCAATGGAAAATGGGAGCGGGTAATCCTTGGCATGCGATGACCTTACGATTCACCAAATTATCCCCTATTCTTGCTGAGTTGGAGTGCCAGCAGGAGGTGGGGTTTTGGAAACACATTAACTGCTGCCTGATGCTGGTAAAGATGATGGGGGGTGGGGGGAGGCTCCTGGGTGGCGGTTAAGCGTCCGGCTTTGGCTCAGGTCATGATCTCACGGTTCGGTTCGGTTCGTGGGTTTGAGCCCTGCGTCGGGCTCTGTGCTGACAGCTAGCTCAGAGCCTGGAGCCAGTTTCAGATTCTGTGTCTCCCTCTCTCTTTGACCCTCCCCTGCTCATGCTCTCTCTCTCTCTCTCTCTCTCTTTCAGAAGTAAATAAAACATTAAAAAAAATTATCCCAGGGAATGTAAGGAGAGACAAGTGCTTCCAATTGCACTGTGGTGCTTGCAGGATGGAAATAAATAACAAGCTTTCAGCTCAAATCATCTTTCAGGAATGAGAGGGCTTCTAAGGCTGCCCTAAAAATACCTCTAACATCTTGTAGTTACAGGACAGACATGTCTAAAAACTCAGACCCAAATCAAACATTCATAGGCTGGCCACCTCTCATATGTGAGAGTGGAGGGGGTAATTTAGAAAAAATTGGACTCCGACCCTAGGAACAGAGACCTTTGAGTGGACTTGGATGAAGCTGAAAATCCTGAACTCTCCCTCCCCCAAGTGTCACTGACCTTCCACTGATAGTGGAAGAAGCCTCTAATTTCCTCTTTGGTAAATACCAGCCTTTCTTTGCTTGAAAACCTGTAGTTAGCACATCTGAGGCAGTTGTCTTTGCATGGGGATCTCTAATTTTTTAAAACTCCACTGCTCCCAACTCCCATGGCCTTCAGGCTTTTATCTGGAGTCAGATTCCAGCATATTCAGGGAGAGAAGGGCAGTCTGTCTCTGGAGGAAAAGGCTTTACTCCAAAAGAATCACAAGCTTTTGTTAAATTCATGCTAGAAGAAACCTAAGATATGTGGAGATGGATTCTAAGGGTATCAGATCAAAGAGAACAGAATACAACATTGGGTTGGGGCCAAATTTAGGTAGCCCTGATATAATACACTTCCCATAGGTTTTTGGACTTAATGCTATGGTAGATTGTTATAGCAATAGCCCTAGGGAGTCATGCCATTTTATATATCAGGCCCTCATGTAATTCCTTCCACAGTGATTTTGGCCTAGCTATTTGACTTGCTTTGGCCAATGAGATTTTAGCAAATGTGATGCAGATGGAGACACTTGCATGTTGGGGTCTGCCCGCTCTTTGCTCTTTTTGGATCCACTTCTATGTTGAAAAGAGCACAGACAAATCTGCTGAAGACACACAGCCCCACCGACAGCCAGCACCGACTCCAACACATATGAATGAGGCCACCCAAGACCAGCGTGCTCCGACATCTATCAGCTGCCCGCAAATGCATGAGTGAGCCCAGCCAACTCCATGCAGAGCAGAAATGAGTTGTCCCAGCTGAACCCAGCCTAAGTTGCTAAACTACAAAATCATAAACACATAAATGATAAAAAAGAAGCCATAGGTTTTGTTATACAGGGAAAGCAAGCGGAAACAAACGTATTGGTTTGGGCAGATGGGAGTGGTCTGTTTACGAAGTTGGTTGGCTGATCCCCATGTGCAACAAGGACATTAGGTGATAGAATTTCTTTGGAATAATGGACAGATAGGATCCTAAAGGCTTAAGGAGTTAGGAATAATGGGGTAATTTGTCGTGTGTAACCTGTGTGTCTTTCCTCCCCCTTGAAAGGGACCAAAGGATATTCCCTTCACTAAAGTATCGAGAAATGCATTAGTGAGGGAGCCCCACAACCCTGGGCACCCCCAGATGTCTGTTTTCTGTAGCCCAAAGATGATGGTAGGAAATGCTACCGCTGATATGGGCTTCCTGACTTCATGAGATAAGAGCCCAGAAAAGCAATCAGAATTTTTTACGCATCGGAAATCTTTAGTGGTAGTTGGCCCTAAGAATTAAGTAGTTGGCCAGCCTACCAAAGCATGGCTTGATCTATAGAATAGAAATCTGGCTTGAGTTTTCACAACTGAGAATTACAGCTTCTTCCCCAAATTCTTAGAAAGGACCCTGCAACAATGCCATAGATACTTGTAGATCCTCCTCCAAGCTATCCCCAAGGGGACCTGAAGTCATTCCTGAAGGTGTCTGTGCACTGAGGGAAATGGAAATACCCAGGCTTTTCAGGGATTCCTAAATGCTTCTCTGAAATGACACCAATCCTTAGGAACCCCAAATGTCACTGTGGTCCACTAGTCAAAACAGGCTTATAGTGATTAGGAGATGAACAGAGCTTGTGCCCAATCCAATCTCATTATGATCTGTGACTCAAGCATCATTAAAGAGATTCATTAGGAGGACTAGTCAACAACAGAGGTGTAAGCTTGGGGTACGATGATAAATTTGAAAAAAAAGGATTGAAAATGACAGCTCTAGCTGAGATTGTGTATATGTCTGGACAAGAACCAGATGCAAACAGCAAAAATGAAAATACTTGTGCTGAGATAATGAGATCATAGGTGGTTTTTGTTTGTCTGGCATCTCTCAATTCCTCAAACTCTCCCAAATGCTATTTTTGCTCCCTTTGTAAAAGGTACTTTTTTTTTAAAAAATAAAAAAAAAGACTTAGTGTTTATCCAGCTCTTTTGTTTTAAGAGTTGCCTTTACATACATTTTAGCCAATCACAGTGATGTCATAAAAAATAAGAATGTAATGTGTCACCATTCTCTTCAATATTATGATGAGGCTCAGAGCCAAGCATGCATGAGGCATCTACTCCATGCATCAGGCTGCAGGATTGACAAACTCCTCCTCCTTCCTTGCCCTCCAGGAGCTTAGAGCCTAAGGAGAAGATGTAACATGGGCTTAAATCCTCATGATTCAAAACTGAGAAAGACAACCCTCTATATCTGAGACTCTGCTCTGATAACGTACACATTTGGACAGTTCCTGGATCAGCAGGTGCCCTGAGCTTCATGACCCCGGTATGCAGACCAGATTTAACATGATTAGCCTGTTGTTGCTCCATGCAGTTACCCTTGACATGCATAAAAGGGGACTCCACAGCATTTCTACAGTGCCAAGCATCAAAAGCCTTGCCTAATGAGTGTCCCTGTGTCACAGACATGGAACTGAGTCCCTGAAGGGTTAAGTTTAAAGTCACAGAGAAGACCAGGAAAAGAGCCTTAGTGTGGGACTCTGATCAGTATGGATACCCATCTGAAATCTTTGCAGGTATAGCATACTAGCGTGCTAAAGTTTTCTAATGTATGCCATTGGTTTCTAAGGTTAAGAAAACAATTTTTTAAAGGTAAGATGTAGTTGAAAAAAATTCATCCACATGACCCATTACAGGTTAAAATAAATGCTCTGTGATTCAAACCTTGCAAAAATACTCAATAGCTTTTCTCCATGATTTTTAGTTGCCCACTGTGTACTTAAATGCTTTCTGTTAAACAACTGAGATGTTGTCAAGATTCCGTAAGCCATATAACTTGCCAGTTATGGCTTGGCTGTGCATAAAGCTCTGTCTAACAGCCTCAAAAGGCTTTTCCAATATACCCAGAGGAAACAGTGGATAAAAATAACTCTATTGGCAATTTATCCATTTCTGTAACTGAAAATTTCCACTCATCTCTTCTTCTGGAAATTACTTTGGAAACTTAGGGGTGGAAATTCCCTTTGTGTTCATTCTGCCAGCAAGGATGAGACTCAGAGCACTGACTGGGGTCTAGGTCCAGGGTGGTCATTTTCTAAAGTGCAGTAGTGCTTGCTTAGGGTCATGGCTGCAGAGGAGAGTGCTGGATCTGGGAAGGGCGGGCTGCCTGACTTGCTCTGAGCACACCACGGCCAGGCCTCTTTGCAGTCTCCACTTTAGTGCTGGAGCTACAAAGCCATTGGACAAGTGCAAACCACGAGCTCTGCACGCCAGTGGATTCTTGTTCAGAGTCCAGAACCTTCTTGAGGACGTCCCATCAGGTCACCCCAACTCCTGAAATTACAGGTTCAAATCTGGAGAGAGAAGTCCACAAATAAGAACATCACTTTTCTGATTAGAAAACAGATAACCTCTCAAGAACAGACTGGAGTGAGAAATGGCTGTAGGGGAGAAGCTCACCTATCTGGAGGCAGCAGAGTTCAAGACCTTGCTTTCTGCCCCTGCTACCACTGCCCTCATCCACGTCTTCAGCCTCTCTCTCCAGACTGTTGCAAGAGGCCTCTTCCCTGTTCTCAGACCTGCCATTGGCTCAATGACACTGCCACTGGAGTACAGTACACGGGGCTCCCCTATTTGAAACCTTCGGAAGTTCCCTATGGGGCCAGATATTTCTGTTGGTTCCTGCCACCCTGAGGTACCCTGCTAGGCGCGCTGGAGGATGATCTTGGGCTGCTCACTGGGCTCGCTTCTCCCCGGCTTCCATGCCATGCTTTCCCTCAGACTCGGGGTTAAAGAAGGTGGTAGGGAGCATCATAATGAGGTTGGGGTGCGCACCCTTCAGCAGCCTCCCCGACAGGCTGCAGGCTCACCTGGCCTAGCTATCTGATTTGCTTTGGCCAATGAGATGTTAGCAAAAGTGATGCAGATGGAAACACTTGCATGTTGGGGTCTGCCCTCTCTTCGCTCTTTTTGCACACACTTCCATGTTGAAAAGAGCACGGACAAACCTGCTGAAGACACACGGCCCCACCGACAGCCAGCACCGACTCTGACACGTGTGAACGGGGCCACCCAAGACCAGCGTGCTCCGACATCTGTCAGCTGCCCGCAAATGCACGAGCGAGCCCACCCTCTCCTACTGCTGTTCTCACCAGCATGCTGGTAACTATGCCTTCCCCTCAGCTCTCCCTGCTCTTGCCAGTTTCAGGTCATTCAACCTCCCTCCCCACCGCCCCCCTCCTGCCTTTGTAGCTAGTAAGCTTGCCTCAGTCACCCCTCCTGAGCGTGCCCTCCCATCCCTGCTGAACCCTAAACGAGGCATGCACGCCTAAGGAGCAACAACTAACCTTCACCTGGAGGTCCTGGCTCACAGCAGAGCCCCCAACCGTCTTCCCTCTGATCTCACACCTGGCTCTTCCCAGGCTGGAATCACATGCCTTTTCCTATAGATGTGCAAGTCTCCCTGTCTCTGCCGTTCCCCTTGTGTTCCCTCTATCTAGAATAGTCTGTTATTCCCATGTTTGCCTGGTGCAAATGTCACCTCTTCCATGAAGCCTTCCCTCTTCCCTAATTGTCCCAGCCTAAAGTGATACTTTCTCCATCTCTGAGCCTTCACGTATTATGTGTACTTTCTGTAAAGCCATAGAGAACTATACAAAATATGCAGACTGCTCACACAATTAAAACCTCACAAGCCCAGGGGCACCAGGGAGCTCAGTCGGTTAAGTGTCTGACTCTGGATTTTGCTTGGGTCATGATCTCATGGTTCATGGGTTCAAGCCCCACATCTGGCTCTGCGCTGACAGCATGGAGCCTACCTGGGATTCTCTCTCCCTCGCTCTCTGCCCCTCTCCTGCTTTCACTCTCTCTTTTTCTCAAAAATAAATAAACATTAAAAAAAAACACCTACAAGCCCAGGTGAATGAGGTGGTTACTGTCTCCTCCTCCAGCCCCACCCTCCCTACAAAAGCCGTGCTCTATGTGGAAGGAAGCTGATGCAGGGTGAGCATTTCTGAGGATTCTGAGAATAGGTATAAGGTTGGCTTTGGAATAAAGTGATAGCTTGAGAGCTTCATGATCTTCCGAATATGTTCCAAAAAGCACAAAGAAGCCTTTGCAGAGACCTAAGGTAGGGTGTATATACCCCTCAGTCTAGTTTAACCACTGATTTAATCTGCTTTTGTGAGATAATAGAAAAAATATATACTGGTCTCTGCCTGGGGTTCCTGGCACAGAATTCCTAAAGCACTTGTAATTTTTTACATGATAAGAGCACTGGGAACATCTTTGTTCTAACATTCAGTCTTTGATTTCACTTCTTGACAGAGTTCCCAAATCCCTTGAAATTTCCTGGATGATAGCAGCGTCTTTTGCTGTAATGAGGTGACTTAAAAAAAATTTTTTTTAAATGTTTATTTATTTTTGAGAGAGAGAGTGCAAGCAGGGGAGGGGCCGAGAGACAGGGAGACACAGAATCTGAAGCAGGCTCCAGGCTCTGCGTTGTCAGCACACAGCCCGACGTGGGACTCAAACACACAGACCGTGAGATCATGACCTGAGCTGAAGTCGGACGTTTAACTGACTGAGCCACCCAGGCGCCCCATAATGAGGTGACCCTTGATGAGCTCCTGGATGAAGGCTGGTCATCAGGAAGACTAAACTATGGTTAGAAAATTGGAATTTTCAGGCCCACCTCCCACCCCACCCCTGTTCTCCAGAGAGGGGAGAAGAGCTGAAGATGAAGTTAATGATTGGTCATGTCTTTGTGATAAAGCCTCCATAAAAATCCCTGAAGGAGGGCTTCCAGGAGCTTCTGTGTTGGTGAGCACAAGTTGGTACTGGGAGAGTGGCACATGCACAGAGTGTGGACGCCCCCACATATCTTGCCACATGCATTTCTTCTATCAGATGTTCACTGTATTGTTTTTACCCTTTATCATAAATTGGTAAACAGTAAGTAAACTGTTTCCCTGGGTTCTGGGAACGACTCTGTCAAATTCACGGAACCCGAGGAGGGGATGGTAGGAACCTGAGATTATTTATAGCTGATTGGTCAGCAGCACAGGTGACAGCCTGGGCTGGCCATTGGCATCTGAAGAGGGCAGTGGAGGGTGCGGAGGGCAGTCTTATGGGACTGAGCTCTTAACAGGTGAGATCTTACGCCATCTCCAGGGACACAGTGTCAGGCTTGATTAAATTGTGGGGCACCAAGCTGGTGTCACAGAGAACTTCTGGTGGGGAAAAAGCCCCACGCATTCATGGCAGAAGTGTGTGTAGTAGTAGTGACAGTAAAGGAGGCCTTCCTCTGGGAGGAGGGCTGAAGTCCCCCCACGGGAGGAGGGCTAAAGTTTCCCACAGTATGTACAGGTATTCTGTCTAATGTTTCCTTTATGAAGGGGTTACACTGGGAAGAAAAGAAAGAAAAGATTGGAAACCACTAACAGAGAAGGCACCTGGACCATGGTGGCATGTGGAGGCCGTGATCAGTTATTAGGTGGAAGTTCCTGAGGGGAAGACAAGAGACTCATGCAAAACAAAACAAACACAGATTTGATCAACTGCCTGGGGGTATATCGACATCTGGCTTCTTTTCATTTTAGCCCGAATTACACCAAGAGAAACAGTGTTTTGAGTACCTTATCTCCAATGCTTGATCGTTAAGAGTCTTGGAATACTAATGCTATGCCTCATTCATCCTTACAATTTCCACAGAGCCTACTGACACAGTCTTGCAAATAGCAGACCCTTAGTGCATGTATCAGAGTGAATGAATGAATAGCACTGTACTGGGAATCACAAGACCTTTTATTTTTCTGTCATTATTTCTATTCAAGAACGTCACGTAACATTCCTTAGCCCAAATCTTGCCATCTGTAAAATGAGGAAGTCAGTTACATGGCTTGAAAACTCTAACAAACCATGTCATGATGACTAGGGTAACTTTTTTTTTTTCTAAAGGAAGCATGATATATATCCATGGGATCAGAATCCACTCCTGAAGTTGTTCTAGTTGATAGCTTGGTGGCCTGTATGAGAGTGAGAAGCCATGGTCTCAAACCTGACCTCTACATCCTTGGAGTATGGATCCACTCCTTGTAGGCTCACTAGGTTAAGAAACTCTGAAAGGCAACTAAGACATTGGTATGTGTTGTTGAAAAAGGGTATAACATTCTGCTCCCTAAAGTCGACAAGGACCCAATGGAGACTTCTGTATAATGTATTTGTTATACAGGATATAAAAAGGTGATATATACAGTGAGAGGTAAGAAGAGAGAGAGATCGTTTTTCATCTAACAAGCACCCCTGGGTACTTAAAAGTGATACATTGGGATATTTTATTTTTTTATTTTTTAATGTCTATTTATTTATTTTGAGAGAGGGAGTGAGGGAGAAAGCATGTGCCCATGAGGAAGAGAGGAGCAGAGAAAGAAGGAGAGAGAGAATCCCAAGCAGGCTCCATTCAGTGTGGAGCCTGATGCAGGGCTTGATCCCACGACCACGAGATCATGACCTGAGCCAAAATCAAGAGTTGAACACTTAACTGACTGAGCCACCCAGGTGCCCCAACACTGGGACGTTTTAAAATATATTCAAGTACAAAGAAAATTTAGAAAATCTAAAAGAAGAAAACAATATAAGTTTCCAGATATAATGATTACAGGTATTTAAATATTTTTGCTTCACTTCCTTGGGAGAAAGGGGTGTGGTGATATATTAAAAACATTTTTTAAATAGAGCATTAATGATAAAGTATATTTTTATATCTTACCCTTCTTTTCTTTTTGTTATACAGAAAGCCTTTTCCCATATTATCACTCCTCAGAAGCAGAATTGTAAGTGACAATATATAGTGTATTGACTAGAGGTTCCAGGATTTCCCTGTTGTATTAGTCAGGATAGACTTGATTATGCTGCAGTAACAAACAACCCCCAAATCTCTATTACTTAAATCAAATAATAAACAAAGCTTCCATGTCCACTGAGGGTCAGCATTATTTGTAGTTACTCAGAGACCCAGGCTGATGTAGCAGCCACTACCCCAAATGTTACTGGTTGTCACGCCAGAGGGAAAAAGAATACAGCAAAGCACAAGCTAGCCCTTACATCTTCTGCCCAGAGGTCACACATCACTTAAGCTTATATTTAGTAGACCAAAGCAAATCACATGACCACACCCACCTACAAACTAAGTGCAGAGGAGTGCAATCCTATTACATCACACAAAAGCAAGAGATCCAAGAAATATGTGAAATTGACACTAATGACCGCCATACCATGGAGAAGGATGGTAATGAGCTCTTTGGCCATATTTAGTTTGATGGGAGTCTTCTGATCCTATAATATTAAAGTTAAG